CCACTGGCCTCCTGCTGTGACCGAGACCGTCGCACCCCACATGTCCATGGCGCCCTTCTTGGCGAAGGCATCCAATTCACGCTGTATCCCATGCAGATCTGCTCCGTCAGCGAGCTGTTCACCATCAGGATGCTTGGCAGCCAATCGCCAGGCAGCAGCACGGCAGTCATGCTCAAAGTCCGCCAAGAGCTCGCTGAAATCCTCCAAGACGGTGTCACTGTAGCCAGCCTCGCCGAACGAGAGGAACTTGTAGTCCTCTGGCCCTTCAGCGCCTGCACGACGCCAACGGGTGGTTTCCAAGGGCTCCCAGCCAACCTGCATCAAGGTAGCTTGGAGGGCAGCAATGGGCCCTCGGACTCCACGCCAGCGGACGCGACCACCCAGTCCAGCACGAACACGAGGCCAGACACGAGCAATGCGTACATGCAAGTACGGGTGCGCAATCCACATCCGAAACCATTCAGTAAGAACGTCACGTCGGAGCTGCAAGGAGGGGTCGCTTGAGCCAAGAGTAGCCTGCAAGACAGTCTGCAAGCAGCGGCCCCTCTTGTGACCAGCGATCAGGAAGAGAGGGAGGCGGAGGAGGAGGACGAGGAGGAGGAGGAGAAGGAGGAGGAGGAGGAGGAGGACCAGTGTAAACCCAAGAGTCAGTCATCAACGATGTTGGAATCAGCCATCCCTCCAAGCTCCCTCTTCATAGGCTCCTACAACGGTTCATCTCCACCGAGGGAATTGCCTCGTCGGAAGACAACCGTGTGAAGATTTTGAAGCATGCTCAAACATTATTCTCGGGATTCCAACGCCACGTGTCAACCTGACTGTTGCGCCCTGACGAGCCTGAATCGTGCCAGAACGCCGTTCCTGGGACCTCAACGCCGCGAACCAACGTAACTCTGGCACCCGCATAATCCCGAATCTGTCCAACATACCGTTTCTGGTACGTTGATCATGCGAACCTTTGAAACTCTTGCAAAGTTTATGAACGAATATGCGCGGCGCTAAGGCGAGAGCGCCACACATTTTGACAATGATCCGCCTTCAATCCGTGAAGCTCTTGCAGTTTTGTAAGCCGGATGTGCGCGACGCTAAGGCGAGAGCCACATTTTGAAAACTACGCACGCTCAATCCGCGAAGCTTTTGCATTTGTTTGTTTGAATGAGTATGAGCGGCGCTGAGGCGAGAGCCACATGTTGAAAAGGAGCCGCCCTCAACCAGTGAAACTCTTGCAATATCTAAAACGAATGTGCGCGGCGTTAGGGCGAGAGCCACTTTTGAAAACCACCCGCCCTCCATCCGTGAAACCGTTGCCAATGTTTAAGCTCCACGGTCCTAACTGATAAGGACGTCTCATGTGAGACGCCTGACCCGCCCTAAAAACTGGCCTCGGGGTGCGGCAGGGAGAAGTTAGTCATAAAGGAAAGGAATGTAGGAGGCTGAGGAGGATGAAGATGATGATGGCGAGGAGGAGGAGGAGGAGACAAACCGCCTATTGGGTGCCTCATGGGACGCTCTCGGGGCGCTCTTGGGCCTTCTCTGGGCCTGCCTGGAGGTCGCCTTGGGGTCCTCTTGCGGACCTCTTGTGGCCCTCTTGGGGCCCTCTTGGGAGCCCTGGAGGGCCTCTTGAGGCCATCGATCAAGGGAGGAGGGGGGGGTCCCCGATTTGCATCCCCCCCTGGGACCCCCAAATTCGCAGTTGGGCGCCTTCTTGGGGCGCCCTTGGGCGCTCTTTGGGCCGCCTTGGGGGCCTCTTGGGCGCCTCTTACTGCTCTCTTGTGCCATCTTGGGGCCACCTGGGGCCTCAGAAGCACATTGGAAGCGAAACGGCGAGAAGGCAACACTCATTGAATTTCCCGAGGCCCGAGGTCTTTGAAGGATGTTGGCCTCTTGGGGGGAGGTCCCGAGGGGGTTCCGAGAGCATTTGGGGCCGTATTTGGGCGGTCTTTGGGGCTTTTTGGGGCATGCGGGAAGCCAGTTTGAGACATATTCGGCTATATTGGCAACCTTAGATGCCATTTTGTAGCATCGAGGGCCATCTTGGACGCTCTAACCCTTCGCCCCCGTCCCCAAAAACATCAGGGAGTGGATGGGGGAGAGTGCACTGCCCGAAGGGAAGAGGGTTTTGGAAGAGGGAATACATACATCGTTAGACCACCTACGCCCAGAGGGCTGATGGGATTATGAAACGCCGATTTTGATCCTTGGGCCCAACAGAGATTCGATGCTGCAATGGAAGAGACCCGACAGAAGACTCCGCCGTTACGACCGAGTGCCGTGTACCGCATAGACCACCCTTCGGGTGATAAGGAGGTGAGGGGGGTGGAGGGACCAACGTCGCACTCGATTGATCTCACTATCGAACTCACTACCGCTCTCACAATCGATCTCAATCGATAGATCTCACAATCGATCTGACTATCGATCTCACAGTAAATCTCACAATCGATCCCACAATCGATCTCACATTCGGTCTCGCTATTGATCTCACAATCGATATCACAATCGATCTCGCATTCGATCTGACTATCGATCTCACTATCAAACTCACTATCGATCTCATTATCGATCTCACATTCGGTCTCACTATCGATCTCACTATCGATATCACAATCGATCTCACAATCGATCTCGCATTCGGCCTCACTATCGATCTCTCTATCGAACTCACTTTCGATCTCATTATCGATCTCACTATCGATCTCACTATCGATATCACAACCGAACTCACAATCGATCTCACATTCGGTCTCATCATCGATCTCACTATCGAAATCACTACCGATCTCATTACCGATAGTGATCTCACTACTAACTCAATCGATCGATCTCACAATCGATCTGACTATCGATCTCACAATAGATTCCACAATCGATCTCACATTCGGTCTCACTATCGATCTCACTATCGATATCACAATCGATCTCACAATCGATATCCCATTCGGTCTCACAACCGATCTCACTATCGATCTCATTATCGATCTCACATTCGGTATCACAATCGATCTCACAATCGATCTCACAAGCGATCTGACATTCGATCTCACAATCGATATCACAATCGATATCACTACCGATCTCACTATCGATCATCAAACAAATACATCATATCATCGTCATCATCATCACCATCATCATCATCATCATCAATATCATCACCATAATCGGGACACCGACGGGGCACCGGCGGGACACCGCGGGCCCCCGGCCGCCCGGAAGGGAGTCATTTGGTCCGGCCGCGCCTCAGCCACACGGGACACCAGCGGGACACCGGCGGGACACCGCGGGCCCCGGCCGCGCCTCAGCCACAGGAGACTTTCTCTCGCCCGCCCACGCAGCTTCGCCTCGCCCGCACGGCACGCACGAACACGAAACCGAAATCGATTTCCCGGTAGGGGGGCTCTCCGTTCCACTTCGATCTCACCCCCTCACCTCCGATAATACGATGGAATGGGCTGGTGCTGAGGCGGGATGGGCCCCCGAAGGGGTGCCAGCGCCACAGGTTGATGAAGCCATCGTCGAACTCAATGGGCACCAAATTCTGGTGACCCGCGGAACACTCGTTTGCATTCTGCGTGGCTCTTGTGAAGTTGCGTGTGGTAGGGGGGCCAACTTCAGGCTCAATGCGGAGGGCTGCAAAGGCCCTTCTCATAATGCCTGGGCTTGGTGCCAATTGCATCGGTATGTGGCGGATGTCCGCGCTGCTAAGCACCCTGGGAAGGGTTAAGCCTCTACGGGTGGCGTTCATCTAATTCGGTTTTCTCGAGGGGGTCTCTCGTTTTCTCGAGAGGCGTTCTCTAATTCTCGTTTTCTCTCGTTTTCTCGAGGGGGTCTCTACGGGTGGCGTTCTCTAATTCGGTTTTCTCGAGGGTTAGCCTCTACGGGTGACTCTCTCTTTCTTTTCTTGATCTTTTCGCGTTCGCACCGTCCCTCGTTTCAGGCTGGAGCCTGCTTGTGGAAGGTGAGGTGAGCGGTGGCCCCAAGGTGGCGCGTGCCCCTGCCAGCAGTTGTACGATACTGGCTGATTGGCTGATGCGTATGTGCATGTGTGTGAGCGCGCGCGCGCGCGCGCGCGCGTGTGTGTGTGTGTGTGTGTGTGCTCCTGCCTCGCACTGCCCGCGAGACGCTCCCGCTGGCAGTTGCACCCGACTCCATTGCGCCACGCTTTTGGTCTCGGCCTGTGACCGTCTTCGCTGTTCCGCGTCCGTAGTTTCCTCCCCCCTGCCGTTTCCCCCTCTTCCCCTTTCCCGCGCCCCCTCGCGACTGTCCCATCGCGAGTGTTGCCGTTCGATCGTTTGATCCCATATTGGTGGATCCCGCTCCTCGAACATGCGTGAGCTGGCCTGGACCGCGCGCCGCTCTCTCGCTTGACTTGCCCCACGCCGCGCCGCCGCGCGCGTGGCCGCGACGCCAAAAAGTTGTGTGTGTGTGCTCGTCCCATCGGCAGACTCTCCAGCTCTCTCTCCTAGTAAGGGGGCGAAGAACTATATAACGTGAACTCTTCCGTCGTCGGGGAAGCCTGCTCCCCAGGCGGCTGCACAGTTTGTACCCCTGCGGTGCCACGTAGGGGTATGAACCTTCCAGCCGCTCTGGGGACAGGCGTCCCCGACGGCGGACAAGTTTTTTTCATACCGTTCTTCGTCCGAGAACTCTCCTCCAGGCACTTGCTCTGGTGAAGCGGGTCCCTGGATGGGGCAGGAAGAAGGGCAGGAGGGGGCCAGGGCTCCTCGAAGCCCATCCCCCCGACGTCATGATTTTTTGTTTTGTTTTCATAGCGTCGACCCCCAGAGGTCTCGACCTATTCCCCGGGACTGGTTTTTCATCCCGAGTCGTTTTTCGGCGGTCCCGAGGCCCGGTGAGGTCCCCCAGAGGCCGAACATGGCCAAACAAGTTTTCGTCGCGATTTTTTTTCATCACGAGGGGGGTGGGGCAGCAAAAAGGAGGGGGGGAGCAGCACGAGGGTGAGCAGGGCGCGGGGGTCCCGCCGCCCGGCCGCGGCCCAGATCACTGGCCTCGACACCGACGCGGGCCGGTGCGGGAGCGGGGCGCCCTCGTCGAGCGCTGAGGGCGGCGCGGCCTGAGCGCGGGCCCCGGGCAAGGAGGGGCGTTCTCCTCCTGATGCTCCTCCTCCCTCAGGGCTTGGCATCCCTCGGGCGTGCGCATTTTTCCTCAGCGATGACCATCGGGGAGCATCCTGGATCATTTCGCGAAGAAAGCACGCACGAAACCGAAACATGCGCCGGGAATGGACGTCCGAGGGATGGCCAGAGGAGGCCAGGCGCAAACGGGCACGTGCGGCACAGAGGGCCACGTGAGGCCGGGGAAGGCCAGAGGAGGCCAGCCACCCACGGGCGAGCCAAGCACTCCTGGGCCAGTGCGGCACCTGGGGCCATAGAAGAACCATATTGGGCCAAGTGTTTCACAAAAAAACCCTGGATTGCACAAAAAAACCTAGGATTGCATAAAAAAACCCGGGTTTTTTTGTGCAATCTGGGGTTTTTTTGTGCAATCCTTTTTTGTGCAATCCTTTTTTTGTGCAATCCTGGGTTTTTTTGTGCAATCATGGGTTTTTTTGTGCAATCCTTCGGTTTTTTTTTTTTTTTTTTTTTTTTTGTGCAATCCTCCGTGTATGAGGGCCAGGGGAGGCCAATCACCCGCGGGCGAGTGCGGCACGGCACCCCGCGCCAAGGGAGGCGGGGTGCCTCAGGAGGCCACAGCAGAGGCCTCACAGGCGGGGTCCGAGTAGATGGGGCCGGAGGATCGCGCCGCATCGCCGATGCACCGCCGATGCGGCTCGATCATGGAGCCTGATTGTTCTCCACGCCGACGGCGCCGATGCATCGGCGATGTGTCGGCGATGCATCGGCGATGCGGTGCGATTTTCCGACCCCATCTCCTCGGAACGCACCGAAGAGGCCTCTATCCCTCCTGCAGTCAGGAGCTTGTGCTTACGGTGTCGCGCAGCTGGTTCTGGCTCACCACGCTTCGGCGCCGCACCCCAACCACGTCCCAGTTTTCAAGCATCAGTGCTCCTAACTTTTCCAAGCCTCCCGTTTCGCGAAGCGGAGCGACACGCTATCTGCTTGCAGGGCATACCGTGTCGCCAGGGCCACCACCACGAAAGGCTAGGTAAACGTTCATGAACGTACCTCCTTCGTCCTCCCGCATCTTCCTCCTGCCTTCTCCTCTCCCTCTTCTCTCCCGTCGCATCCTCCTCGCTTCCTTGGTGCTCAGACATCCGCTTGCCCATCTGTAATCGCAGCGTGGACTGGCCGCCATCTCTGCCACTGATCTCTGCACTCTGTCCAGTACGCTTGGGGGGCAGCCCGCCGATTGGAGAAGGGGCGCGCTCCTGACCCGAGTCCGCCGCGACTTTGCCCTGCCTCGGCCTCCCCCCCCCGTCCCCCCCTCCAAAGCGAGGCGTCACTAGTTAAAGGGGGGTCGGCGCCCCCACTGGCGGCCTTCAAGTTCCTGAAGCTTGACTGGATAGCCGGGAGAGGAGGGGCCTCCTGACCACCAGAGGTGTCCCAGGCGGACCGCGTGTGGATGCAGAGATGGGGCTTGAAGCGGATCCGCCCACGGGTCACCAGGCAGTTGGCGCAAGCATCCCGCAGTCTGACGCGTGGTGAACGGTGGCAGGCTGGATCTGATCCCAGCAGGAATCTCTCCAAGTCCGCAACAGCCCTTGCCAGCCCCAGCTGGAGAGGCTGGGGCAGTGCAAGTAGTCGAAGACAGCGGGGAAATCAACCTCAGGGGAAATACTCTCGCGGGGCTGCCATCAGCTCGGCTCCTCCCCTGGATCAGCTGCTGCTGCTGCTGCTGCTGATGTTGTTGTTGGTGTTGTGGTCGTGGTTGCTTATCTTGTTGCTGTTCATGATGATGACGATCACGATGGCGGTGACGATGCTGCTGCTGATGATGCTGCTGATGATGATCAGATCATGATGATGCTGCTTCTGACGATGATCATGATTATGATGATGCTGATGCTAATGATGATGCTGATGATGATGCTGATGCTGATGGTGATGATGATGATGATGCTGATGATGATTATGATGCTGATTGTGATGATGATGCTGCTGATGCTGATGACGATGATGATGATGATGCTGATGATGATGATGCTGATGATGATGATGATGATGATGATGATGATGATGATGATGATGTTGATGCTGTTGATGATGCTGCTGCTGCTGATGATGATGATGATGACGATGATGATGATGATGATGATGATGATGATGATGATGATGTTGATGATGATGATGATAATGATGATGATGATGTTGATGATGCTGATGATGATGCTGCTGCTGCTGCTGATGATGATGATGATGATGATGATGCTGGTTATGGTGATGGTGATGGTGATGGTGATGGTGGTGGTGGTGAGGAGGAGGAGGAGGAGGAGGAGGAGGAGGAGGGGGAAGCGGAGAACAACAGCACGGGGATATAGGAGGTAGGAGCACGAAGGAGGCATGAGGAGCAGGGAGACGAGGCATGAGGTTTGCCTTTGAACGCGCTGGCGTCATTCTTGAATTCCCCTTTGTGCCTCCTTGTGCAGTCTTCGCTGGAGGAGGGGGGCAAGCAGGAGGAACAGCAGCGGCATCTCCAGCAGCGACAGCCATCACCAGGGTCGGTGGCAGCAGGACCGATCCAGTCAGATTCGTTGAATGTGCCTGCTGCCAGTAGTAAGGCTCTTTCATGGCCTCAGGATCTCCCCGCCCCTTCCCGCCTTCTCCTCTTCCCTTCTCTCTTCGCCCTGCTTTCCTTCTCCTCCGTTCACTTGGCCGCCTCCCTCTCCTCCTTCATTTCTCCCTCTTGAATTCTAGGCCTCGCCCCTCCTTCTCCTCCTCCTCCTTGTGCACGGCCGCCTGTTCTGGCCCCTGTACTCCCGACCCGGCGCAGAGCCAGGGCGTCGGATCTGTAGGGCAAGCCTGCGTCAACGCTATGTTTCTGCGGTGCTCCGCTTTTTTTCGGCGGGGCATGCCGACAGCCTGGTTTACGGGCAGCAGAGGTCTCGAACGTCCTGCTCTGACCGCGATCCCGGTCTCCGCCTCAACTCTCTGTTTCTTTCGCCCTGTCCTCGACAATCACTCAATCTGAACACTACTCTCCCTTCTCCCCTGACAGTGTCCAGCGGTACCCCCGCATTTTCCACGTATTGTGTCCACACGCGCAGGGTTTCAACGTTGATCGGAGGTTGGGGGCGAGAGCAGTTTCGGTTTCGGTTCGTGCCGTGTCGCGCGTGCGGGCGAGGCGGATCTGAGCGAGGACGACGGTGTGCCAGCGTAGCTAGGGCCAGGCCGAACAACAAGCTTCTCCTCCCGTCGCACCGTTCTTCGTCGTGCTTGTGCGACGGCTGTTTTGTGGTTGTTTTGTGGCTATCCTGCGGTTGTCCCGTGGATTGCCCCGTGGTTGTCCCGTGGGTTGTCTTGTGGTCGTTCTTAGGGTTGTCCCGTGGATTGTCCCGTGGGTTGTCCCGTGGTTGTCCCATGGGTTGTCCCACGGGTTGTCCCGTAGGTTGCCCCGCGGGTTGACCCGTGGTTGTGGCGTCAGTTTCCCGTGGGAGGTATGAGTCCTAATGCAGATCCAACGGCATTCGGAATGCACATCAACACGCATATCCAATTGCAACCCATATGCAAGTCGAGCTCCACATCGAACACCACAACGAGCAGCAGGTCAAATAACAAACCGCCACGAACATCGATATTCACATCAGGTTCCAATTTGATGCGCGAATGGACATGTATATCGAACTGGTACCGAAATGCAGCTCGACATGTAAATCGCCATTCGCTTTGAAATGCGCATCGACATGTAACGCAACTGGAACTACAGTTGCTCACACACACAAACACGCATGTACTCAACATGTAGGTACATCTGTATGTATGCCAGTATACAGAAACGCCGTTATGCACAAGTGTTAGTCAAACGCAAATCGTCATGGCGATATCGCCATATAGATATGGATGTCGATCTTTATATACAGAGAGGGAGAGAGAGTGAGATTGGTTGGTAGCTCGGGAGATGGGTAAAGAGTGAGGTCGATGTGTGTACATCGAACACCAGAAATTGCGATCTTCTCCTTCCCGCAACCACCTTTTCACCCGACGGGAGGTCTTTGATGTATGTTCAATATGTTTTTCGATCAGAACGCCCTCAGCCCTTCAAAAGGGTGCTTCAGATCTAGACTTGGCCACGTGTCATCGGTGCTTTGCTGTTGTCCTTCAAACCAGCACTCTCGCCCCAGTGTGGGATTATTTGAAGATCTGATTCGTTCCTCGTCGCTGCCGTTTCCACCTTTTTCCCATTCTCCGCCTTCCTTGATGCTGCTGCTGCTCCTCCTGCTTTGGCTGACTTATCCATCTCCTTCCTGCTGCTGCTGCTGCTGCTGCTGCTCCTCCTACTCTAATGCAATTGCATAATCCCCTTTCCCCGGTTCTGCAGCAAGCGATGGGTCAACTCCTGCAATTGTCATTTTGGGATCAAGGTCCTGGAGGCTAGGACACGCTAGTCGGCGGACAGGACAGGTTCAACGCAATGGGACGGGATGGGTGGGAGGGGTAGCATGTCAGACGTGGCGCGAACAAACTTATCTTGACCACCTCCCCTCTTCCCTGTCCCCTCCCCCCTCCCTCATTCTGTAATCTCTACTCCTGGCCCATTCCCATGGCCGTCAGCAGAGTTGCGCTTGTCCCTGAGCCGGAGCACAACCACCCGACATCCGACAAAGCTGCCCTTCGTCGCAATGGCAAAGCCATGCGCAGCTGCGTCTTTCATCTCACGCGGCCGCCCAAACAGTGTGCCACGCCAACGCTCATGGGCCACTTCACTTTTTTGGTGTTGTTTCTCTCTCTCTCTCTTTCTCTCTCTTTCTATCGCTCTTTTTTGTCTCTCTCACTCTCTCTCTCTCTCTCTTTTTGTTTATCTCTCTATCTATATACATACATGCATTTTTTGTTTGTCTCTCTCTCTCTCTCTTTCTTTCTTTCTTTCTTTCTTTCTTTCTTTCTCTCTCTGGTATCAAATGATTCGGGGCCTTGGACAATCATATCACAAGGATGCG